TGCATGAACGTGGGTGTGGGTGTGTAGCCAATTGCACTCGTGCATGCGTCATTTCCCCACCCAATATGCTCACACTTCCCCACCAACACAACACCACACCACACCACACCACACCACACCACACCACGCCACATTGCCAGTCACCGTCGCTGTTTGAGGTCCCCCTCGTCCTGTTTGAGCTGCCGCCGTCAAAAGTGTCCGCGCTGCAGAAGCAGCAGTTCATGGGCAAGAGCGAACTCAAGGTGATATCTTCGCATGTGTTTTGGGGGAAGCGCGATTGCCTGCGTCTAGCTGGGTTGTGTCTGTCCATATGCCTCTTTGTGCATCCACGAAAGACTGTGTCTGACGTGCGTTCGTTCTTCTATGCATCCCATCACACCATCCATCAAATCCCCTCCGCCCATTGTTCTACTCGTCTACCCCTTCGCCCCCCCCCCCTTTTTGCCCCTTTCGCTCATCCACCCGTCTCTTACTCCTCCTTACCCCCCCCCCCCTTCCAAACACTCGTAGGTCACGCTGTTCAAGGAGGATCAGGCCGTCGGGTTTCAGGGCGAAAAATACCTCAAAGCCATGCAGGATGACGGCCAAGAACAGACGCACGCTCCACCGAAACAGCAACAGCAGCAGCAGCAGCGACGGCCACCACCGCCGCGCTTACAGCCGCGCCCACGTCAGCACCAGTCTGCGCCCGCGTCACGCCGCACCGCCTCTCCCCCAACAGCGACGAGAGCGAACACGCCTGCCACGACGGCAACTTCGTCGGCAGCAAAGACAACGGCGAGAGCGATGCTGTTGGGTGGGCGCAAAGCCGCGACGCAACCGCCGTCACCGCCACACTCGCACCAGCCACGTGGGGCGACGGGCATGGCACGGCCACCGCCTCCATCAACACCACCACCGGCACGCAGACACACGCACGCGCGCGGTGGCAGTGGTACGCCCTCACCGCCGCTCGCGCCCCACACCAACACATCCGCAGCCACAACGCGCCCACCACAACCGCCACAACTGCCACACGTCTCGGCACCACCAACAGCACCAGCAGGCAAAACGGGAGCAGCAAAGGCACCGCCACCAGGAATCAAATCTACAACACGTGGAGCCCCGCTGTCATCACCAGCACCATCATCATCAGCAGCAGCAACAGGAGCATCGGATTTGTCATCGCCGCTGAAGCAGAGACTGCAGCGGACAGCAGTTGCAGCAACACCGCCGCCACCCTCCCGCCCTTCGCCCCGGCTCGCACGCAAGCAAACGAGCGGGAACGCTTCAACAACGAGCACAGACATGCCGAAGCCCAAGGAAGCGAAGGAGAAAGACAAGGATGTCTTACCACGTCGCCCGCCACCACCATCATCATCATCGTCAGCAACAGGAAAGGCAGGACCTGCGGCGCTGCTGGGAGGACTGAAGCAGGCTGTGCGACAACGCCAGGAGACCATGGATTCAAGACGGGGCAGGGAGGTGGCGCCACCATCCAAGCCGCCACCACCGCCGGCAACAGCAGCGGGCGCCAAGCTGTCGGCAGCAGCAACGGTCACAACGAAGAACACATCGGCGGCACCCTCCTTCCCATCATCATCATCATCAACATCAACATCATCAGCAGCTCCGTCATCAGCGGCTCCATCATCGTCGTCCACGGCGCCGCCCAAACCGCCGCCACCAGCAGCGGTGTCTGGTGCGGGGAAGACAAGGAGGGCCACAGCTGTACCGTCAACAACAGCACCGAGCAACGCAGGCACCACTTACAAACCCACACCAGCGACAGCAACAACAGCTACAGCAGCTACAACACGTGGCCTGGCCAAGGCGACATCTGCGCCTGCGGGGATTGGCGGCAGATCCGTACGCGACCGCATGAAGGCATTTGAGAGCAATAATGGTATTCATGGTGGTGGCGATGGTAATGGTCGTGATGGTGGTCGTTGCAATGAGAGCGGGAGGCCAGGGCTGCCATCAAAACCGCGCGTACAGCCGACGGGAGCAACAGGGGTAGCATCGTCGTCCGCGTCGGGACAGCAGGATGCAAAGAGTGGGGACAGCGAGGATGGTGGCGAGGGTGTGCGGCGGCTGAAGCTGGTAATAGAGTTTGAGGATGACGAGTACACGGCGCGAATCAGGGAAGGAGCACCGCTGCCGGCGTTTCGCAAGGTGTGTGTGGGGGGGGGGGGGGTGTGTGTGTGTGTGTGTGTGTGTGTGTGTGTGTGTCGTCGTGTTCTAGCACGAGTCTTAGCCGCATAACGTTATGGGTCGTGGGGACACGTTAGAACGAGCAAGAGATTGAAACCCGGACCAGAAGTTATCGTGCCGGGGCGTGGGACCTGATAACCTCCAGCCTGGTAATGTAGCAAGATCAGGATTTGAGGGTAGCTCAGACTCGAAATCGTGTAAGATCGGTCAAACAGGGTTCCAGCTGTGGATAACCCCCGAGTCGGTGACGGTAAGATGGCTCGGGGGGTGGTGTGTGTGTGTGTGTGTGTGTGTGTGTGTGTGTGTGTCCGTGTGTATGTGTGTCTGTGTGTCTGTGTGTCTGTGTGTCTGTGTGTCTGTGTGTCTGCCTTGTTGCGTCCCACGACGCCCTACTGATAGCGCGCTGCCTGTGTGTGTGTGTGTGCAGAAGGTGTATGAGACGATTGACTGCGATGGCGATGGACTAGCGCTGTGGTACCGCTTGGCGCCAGCACAGCCCCTCCTCAAGCTCTCCGATGAAAGGTGGGGTTGCTTGTGGGTTTGGGGGTGGGGGGGTGGGGTATGCGTGAGCACGTGTTGGTATTGGTGGTTGTGGGATGAGGTCAGTCGTGTGGAAAGTGTTGTAATTGCAGCTGCGTGCTCGAGACATGTACTGTCACATTCCCTCACGCGTTCACACACTCGCACGCGCGCACGCACGCACACGCACACGCACGCACACACACACACACACACACACACACACACACACACACACACGCACGCACGCACGCACGCACGCACATTACCATCAAGCCATCTTCGGTTCCTGGAGAGCCAGGCCTCGACGTCGCTGGCTGTGGTGGTCAAGGCGGACAACAGCTGATACAACGCAGATGGATTGTCGTTTGGTCGCCCGCCAGTGACTTGCCTGCTTGCTTCGCTTCGCTTCGTTTCTGCTTGTTACGTCTGTTCCCCTGGTTACTCGGTGACATGGGCATGCGACATTGCGACATTGCCTTGCGCATTTACCAGTGCAGTGTGCAGTAAAACAGATGAAAGGGATGTCACGTCGTGAATTGTCCGTGTTGCGGGGTTTACGACTGGTTTGGTGGAACGGCACATTTCAACGCGCGGCTCGCAAGACGGCCGAAACAAACAAGTGGCCGAAGGAACAACACAACGCAACGACGTGAAGAACGCAACGTAACAGGAGAAAGCAAGGTAACGGATCTTTGGGGCAGGTAACTCAAAGGATGCAACGGCGATCGGAGCACAGAAAAACAGAGAGAAGAGAGAAGTCGTCTACAAGTGAATGCATGAAAGCAAGGGGGTTGAAGTGAAGGGAGGGGGACTTTGGGGTGCGGAGGAGCAAGAAGGACAGAACGCCAACTGTGGGAAGGGAAGAAAAGTAACGGGTTTTGGAATGGAAGGAATGTGGATGCACACGTGCACAAGCATGGAGCACACACACACACACACACACACACACACACACACACACACACACACACACACACACACACACACACACACAAATCTGATCACTTGCAGTAAGTGGCTCGGTACGTGTCGACGAGCTTATCGCCACCCACGCGCCGCAGCAGCTCTTCGGAAACAAGATCCGTGAGCTGAACAGCCCCAGATGCAGCGTTGATGTTCAGGAACTCGCAGCGCCCACGAGTCACTTGAGCGGCGTGCTCGAAGAAGCTCTTTGCGCGCGGGTGAATGTAGAACGCATGAACCGGAATGCCTTTCTCTTTCAGCTTCTGCAGCTCGGCCTCGGCGGTCGTGGATGTGGCAAACTCGGGATACCCGGGAACGTTGGACCAGTACTGTTCGCCCTTCGAATCTCGTTTCAGCGTCACCTCATCTGGTGTGTTGGCTGGTGCGTCGCCAATCAAAATCACCTGCGACACGTCCTTCTCCGTGTTGGCGCGCTGAAGCGCAACCTCGATCGCTTCGTTGCCCCAGCCGCCGTTCACCTCCAGGCCAGACACGAAGTCCTTCAAATCACCCGGCTCCCGCTCCCACCCGGACAATTGGAGCAGTTGGTCCGCTTCTGCGTTGTAGTTGCGGTACGCGGCCACTTGAACAGCAATACCAGTCTTGTTGTACAGACCTTCATTTTCGAGGATCTTTTCAACGCGTCCAAAGACATCCTCCATCGCCTCCTGTGTCTGCTTGAGAGCTGCGCCCATGGAGAGAGTGACATCCAATGCATACAGAGTCCGAGAAAGATGTGGGAGAACTGTGTGGGTATGATTCCATCGCTCGAGTGTGTTGATCACTGACTCGAATTGCTCGTGGTGCAGATCCACGACCAACGCCATCGACTCTTCGTGCTGCTCGCTCAAGGACCTTGCCTCCTCGCTGGTCTCCTGAAACCTTACTGCATGTGCCTCATCGCGCTTCTTGCGCAGGTAGTCGCGAAGTGCTACCGCACTTTGGCACCTGTACATTTCGTCATCATCCACGGCAAACTTCTTCAGCTGCTCACGGCACAGCACCATCGAGTAGCTGCCCGGCTCACCCTGCCGAGCCGTGCGCCCCATGCACTGCCGCTCCTCAGCCATCGTCTCTGCCAGGAACGTCTGCAGCACGTGCACACCGCCCAGTTTTCCAACGGCCGGGTCACGCACCTGGAAGTCCACACCGCGCCCAAGCGAGCGTGTGCACAGCGTGATGCGCTTCTGCTGCGCTGCCTTGCACACAATATCATCCTTCTCCAAAGCATCCAATGTCTCGCTCAGGATTTGCAAGTGCTGCATGAAGGCGCCGAGGGAGTCGTGGCGATAGTACTCTTGCAGCTCTCGCTCCGTCTCAAACAGAACAATCACCGGACGGCCCTGCCCATGGCGCTTGCTAATCTCCTGGGTGATGGTAAGGTGAAAATGATCAGCCGACACAATCATCAGGTCGTTTGTCTCAAACGGCTTCAGCTGCGACGCGCCAAACATGGACGGCATCACCGTGTACGTGTGAATGCCGTAGTCTTCCTTCAGCACCCCAAACTCGGGAGCAGACAGGTCCTTGAGCGTGCCCGTCACGCCGAGCGTGCAAGCAAATGTGCGCTGCACCTCAAAATACGAGAACGCGCCGCAGTTGATGAAGAAGGCAACCTCATTGGCCACGTCCTTTGAAGTGTGAACGTCGATTCCCACCTTCTCAAGCTCGTGCATGAGCGCGAACAAGGTCTTGTAGCGCATGCGCATCTTGTAGTTGACGGTGTCGTGCAGCTTGTAACCGATGCGGCCGCCCTCAAACACGTACCCGTGTTTCTCATACGATTGCAGGTCAACAATCATGGCGTTCACGCAGCTCCGGAGGAGGTCGTGGTAGGGCTTGGCAAACTGCTGTTGGAGGTTCTCATACTGCGTTGAGTTGGCCACTTTCGCAAACGTGAGTCCAGTTGTGCGATTGTCCCACAGGTGCATCACCAAGTTCTTGACAGCCTCGTTGGTCACCTTGCAGTTGGGCGCGTATGTGTCGCTCATGATGCTTGGGTCGAGTGCCACGTCCACCTCGTCAATCAACAGCACGCGAGGGCGCGGGACCTTGGAGGAACTGGCACTTCCAGGCAGGAAGCTTGCTGCTTTGTCCTTCAAGGCAGCAGCCTTGTCCTTGGCGCGCTTGATCCACCCAGGCTTCTGGAACTTGTCTTCTTGGATCAAGTGCTGCACGCGCTCGCGGATGTCGCCCTCCTTGTTGATGTGCGACTCGCACAGGGCGTTGAGCGTGCCGTACTCAACATGCTCAGCCACGCCCAGCTTGTCAAACAAGAATGAGAAGGCGTAGTAGTCGCGAACGCTGAGGTGCTCGGAGTAGCAGGCAACGCTGGCGTGCATGCCGTACAGCGCAAGCACAGATGCCGTGACAGCCAAGATGACGGACTTTCCTTGTCCCGTCAGGACCTGCACCATGTTGGAGTGCAGCTCGCCCTTCTCAGTGCCAACACCGAGCAGGCGAAAGATGGCCAGGGCTTGGGAAGGATGCGGCTGCAGGAACTCCTCACGGGCCTGGTTGGGGTTGCTGGCATGGTGCAGCGTCCACATGCCAAAGATGTGCGCCATCAGTGTCGGCAGCCGCGACCTCATTGGAGCCGTCCACTCCATGCCCTGAGCGTGAAGGTTTGGGTTCTTTGTGATCTCGGCAGCACAAGCCCTCGCACTTGCAGCAAGTTCGTCTACTGCCTTTGGCCCATCTATGATCATCTTCAAGTTCTTGTGATACTGCTTGAGGAATTCATCAAACATGCGCTTCAGCTCGTCACAGTGCTCGAGTGTGAGTTCGTTTATGCCTCCTTCCCGAAGCGTCTTGAGCGCGTCGTCGATGCCCACAGAGCTGATCTTGTTGTTGAAGAGGCGACGAAGGTACCCGGTGAACACATCGTACACCTGCAGCACGCGCTGTGCCTCTGGGGACTGCAGCTGGTCAAGATACAGTCCAAGTTTGGGTATGCGCATACTGCCCTTGTCATCGAGTGTGTCCAAGAAAGCACAGATATCGCTTGTGACTTCATCGCGGACGCACTGAAAGTTGTCCGCCAGCGTCTGCAGCTGGATGAGAACGTGCGCAATGGTGCCGTTTGTGTGGGAGCGATGCAGGTCCGCAACCAAATTCTTCGCATCTTGGATGAGGTTTGCCTCAACGTCCTTCACCAGCTTCAAATTAAATACACTTGGCTCGCCATGGGCATCATGTGACGAACGCTGGTCTTGCTGTCCACCTCGCATGCCCTTCGACAAAACCCTTGACTTGGATCCGAGGGACGGTGGTGGCTTGGCATTTGTGAGAGCAATAATGTTGTTCCAGTGGGCCATCAGGTTATTCATCCGATCGTACTTGCGTGACGTCTGGGCTGCGTGGAGCTCTGATGAAATGTGCTCCTCTTGCAGCTGCACGTGCTCGGCCAGCTGCTCCGGGCGTGAGCGCACCGCCTCCACCCCGTCTGCAAAATAGGCCGCAAAGGGAAGTGTCAGCTCCAGGAGCTGCTTCGTGCAGTGGAGGCGTGCGTATGCCTTGCGCATCTCCTCTGAATTGACGTTGTACTGGTCATCCAGCACGTTGATGCCCATGCTCTCGTCGAACCACTTTGTTGTCACGTCATCCAGCTCCGACACGATTGCATCGAGCGACTGCTTGCACTTCTGGCACTCCTCCAGAACAGCTGGTGCGATGTGAAGCTCCTTTGCGGGTCGGGCGAGCTCCGAACCAGTGCATGCAACCAGCCCACACTGGTGCGACAGCAGCATCGGGTTGACGGATGCAAAGGCGTTCCAGTCCACTTTGGAGGGCTCCAGCTCTGCCAGCGCGGTCTTGAGATGGCCCACGTCCTGCTGCAGCTTGGCCACATCTTTCGAGCACTTCACTGCCCATGCACGGAGGTCCTCGAGCACAGACGCACCATCGTCCTCGAGCACAGACGCACCATCGTCCGTCTCGTGACGCTGCAGTCTGCCTCCGCCGCCAGTTGTCCTGTCTTTCTTGATGGAGTTGTTTGCCAGCTGAATGCTGCTCTCCAAATAGAGGGCGCGCACCACGCTCCGTGCAAAGTCCTGGGACACGTCACGGGCGATGTCCGGCTCCGTCAGTTGGGGTGAGGCAAACACGTGCGCCATTGTTTGGTGTTCAACGCCCAGCTTCGATGTCGCTTGCTGCACCATGGCCTTCAGCTTGGCCGCTGCAGTCGGCACGCCAATCTCGTTGCACTTGGCCAGGCGCTTCACAACCTTGAGGAGCTGCCGGTCTTGTCTGCGGTCCTCGAGCGCTTGGAAGGCGTCCTCGGCGATGCCGTCAACCTTGGACGTGAGTTGCGCGTTGATGGTGTTGGCAAGCTGGCCCGCAGGCTGTTTGCGCATCAGCTCAACGTCAGTTTTGAGGCCATCCCAGTCATCGTGGTCAAGGCGCTCTCCGGCTTCATTCGCCCGTGATGCAATGCGCTGGCGAAGCGTTGCCAGAATGTCAGCCGATGTTGCAGCCAATTGTTGCTGTATGTGCTGAGGGCACAGCTTTTTGAAGTGTTTCAAATGCAGAGCCACTGCTTCCAGGTTCACATTCATCACGTCATCACTGGACATGCGATCCTTAAAGTCTGTCAGCAGCTCAATAAGATGCTGGTTCACGGCTTTCTTCACCTGGTCGCTCTCCTTGGCAAGGTGCGTCAAGATCTGTGGTGGGTTGCGGATGGCCTTCTCCAATGTCAAACCCCCAAAAGAAGCGACTGCCTCCTCGGGGCCCTTGAGGATACGAGTCCTGAGGTCGCTGATGCGCGCGCGTGCTTCATCCAAGCCCTCAAGCTCGTGCTCAACAGCTTGGATACAGGAAGCGAGCTCCTGCAGTTGGGTTTGGGCCTCGGCGAAGCAGCATCGCTGCATGTCGCTCTCCACTCGGTTGCACTCATCTGTTAGGAATGTGCTCACTGTGTTCCTCACGGCAGCGATCTTCTTCTCCCACTCGTCAGCTTGCTCTGCGGTAACGAGCTCAAGGCCGGGCGCCTGCAGCTGTATGGTCGATTTTGCCTTGCTGAGGGCTTGCTGCAGCTCCTCGAACCGCTGCAGACGGGATTTGTCGCCGTTAACGTTGGTGATCTGGCGAGCACGCTTCAGGCAGTTGGCGTAGGTTGCATCGACGGCAGTTATGATGGACTGATCCAACGTTGACCGCTGCTGGGGGGCCGTGTCATGAAGCTGCTCGAGCAAGGTCGCCACCTCCAAAAAGCTGCGCCTTTCAACTGCTGCGTTAACATTCTGGACAGCCCGTCTGCTGAAGTCGGTGATTTGTTCTACAGCGTTTCGGTAGAGCTGGGTGTACGTGATGGCGCCCTTGAGGACGCCGTCGAGCTGTCGCAAGATGCCTGCAGCCAGCACGTGGCGATGCAGTTCATTGAGTCGTCCGTCCTGTCTCAGCTGACGGCACTCCAATTCTCGATTTGCTGCATCTTGGCGCAAGGGGATGAGCTCTTGTGGCGGCGTTGGAAACGCCAGCGCGTGCAGTTCTGGGAACTGATCCTCCATGCGCTGCAGCTCCTCCAGTCGAATCTGGAGCGTGAGACAAGCCATCCTCAGGCGTCTGGTAGCGGCCACTGCATCATCAGCCGCATCGTTCACAAACGTTTGGATCACGTTGGCGTTGACATGGGAGAGGTAGAGACGAACGAGCGTTCCATAGCTGGCCATGGAGCCCTGCAAGACGTTCTTCAAGTCCTTTATACCAGAGATGTGCTTTTCAAGGCTGCACTCCTTTGTCGCCTTGTGGAGAAAGTGGTGGATGCGGCTCACACGTCTCAGGTCGAGCTGGAAGTCAAGGCGCGTGGTCGATGGTGAAGGGCTCGACACGTCTTCGTCACCGCCCGTTGCAGGGTTGTCAAAGACGATGTCTGTTGGGACTTTGGCAAAGAACTCCTTGGCCGTGTCCACAATGCGTTGGACAGTATTCTCTGCGTGAGTAATGGCATGTGTGTAGCCCTCACCGACACCGCCAAGGATGCTACCAAGTGTGCGCAGGCTGGAGAGTCGGGCGATGGCCTCCGCCACATTGGGAACAATGTCGGGGTTGTCGAGCTGGATGGGCATGCGGGTGGCGACGGCAACAAACTGGCATTCCTCACTTCGCACGCTGCTGATGAGTTTGTCGGTGGCCTTGTCAATCATGCCAGCCTGCAGTTCGTTGGCATACGTTGCGGCCTTGAGCGAGGCCAGCAGGGCTGTGAGAGAGCAAGGTATGCCACTGTCACTGTGGTTGTTAAACGCGTTGTGCAAAATATCGCGCACGAGCTGTTGGGCGGTGCCCACGACCCGGGCAACCTCTGCACGCGCTGCGGCCTCGTGGCGAGTGTACTTGCGCGCCAAATCCACAGAGGGCAAGTCGCGGAATCGGACGAGGTGGAGCACAAGCGGCTCTGCCTGCTGAAGGGCGTCGGTCAGGTCCTGCTGGCACACTTCCGCAATATCGTTGATGATGTGGGTGAGATGCTCGTCGCACACGAACACAAGCTGGTCGAGCAGCGACTCCAGCTGCTGTGCGCCGATGACGGCTGCAAGCTGGGGCGTCTTCTGCACATCGGTGGTGAGGGCCAGCGCTGTTGCCAGCGCGTCCACAGCGGTCTGTCCTTTTAGGCCCAAGTTGTTTGGGGTGAGGTCGATCAGAGTGCGACGAGCTTGCTCAACAGGGTAATGCACGGCAGCACGCAGGGACTTGATGAACGCGTCCCGCCAGGGAGCAATGCGCTGCGACGCCGACTGGGCGGTCTCTGCTTCGACTTCGACTTGGCCAGTGAGGGTGAACTCGCCCACCTGCTGAGGGAGGCTGCTGGCGCTGGTCTTCTGGCTGCTGGCAGTGCTCGTCGTCGTCGTCGTTGTTGTTGTTGTTGTTGTTGTTGTTGACGATGTGCTGCCGCTGCTGCCGGCGCCACTGGAGCCCACGCTGGCGCCTGTCAGCTGGGCCGTGCGGGTGGCGTCGAGGTGGGCGGCAAAAGCATCTGCAGCCTGTAGCGTGGCTGTGCCTAGATCGCCTGCCTCGTGCAGCTGTCGCTGTTCGAGCGCCTCAACAGCACGCCGCTGCATCGAAAGCACTTCGTCTGCGAGGCCCTGCGCGGCGCTCTCGTACCGCTCGGCAGGGATGCTGCTGATGGCGCTGACGAGGGTGCGCAGCTTGTTGGCCTGGTTGACGCGCGCGTGGGCGGAGAGCTCAGCGCGGCCCACGTCCCGCTGCAGTGTGTTGACCAGGTCGCCAAGGGCGGAGGCCGTCACCTCTGCAGAGACGGCGGAGAGGTCGAGGTTTTGCAGCTCACGTTGGAAGAAGCGGGTGGCGTCGCCAATGGCGGTGAGGGTGTCCAGCACATCCACGGCAATGAAGCCGGTAGAAGCATCCTTGAACTCGTTGATGCGCTCCACCACAGCGTTGAACTCACGCGTAAGGTGCTGCACAATCGCCTGCTGGGCGTTCTTTGTGGCCCGCGTCACCTCCTCGGACGGCACCACCTCCTGCAGGTCCTGCAGCTCCTTGACGCGCTGAACGGCGAGGTCGTGCTCGCCACGCTCCATGGCAAACTGGATGGCGGCGATGTTGAGGCGGGCCTGGTCAGCGATGGCTGCCTCCGAGATGGAGAGGAGCGATGGTTGGTCGGCCACGCTTGACGGGGCAATGGGTTGCTTGTTCAAGATGTCGTTGAGGTGCAGTGCGATGCGATCTGGTTCGAGAGGGAGGACAATCTCATCTCCGGCTTGTTTCCGACTCTTGAGTTGCTTGAGCTTGGCGGCGATGACGCGGACGATGACACGGTACGGATCATCACTAGGGCGCTCCCGTGCTTGCTCCTGGAACACCTTGAACATTTCAGCGATTGCGTCATGCTCGTCAACGCTCTGGTACTTAGTGAAGAGGAAAGACAGGCGACTTTTGATGCTGCTGATGCTCTTGAAGAGGTTGGAGGCCACTTTCAGGCTCGCCTTGGTCAGTTCTCCGTTGCCGCCACTATCCTTGGAAGCGACGATGACCGGCCAGAAGCCCTTGCATGACTTGAGGGCGTGGTGGATGCCGATGGTGTTCGCCACGTCAACCTCTGGACCGGAATTGTCGCCGATGCCTGTGTATTGAGTTGTGGAATGGATGCGGGGGTGGGGAAGCAGTTAGTGAGTTATTGAGGCGAGGTGGGGACACAAGTGTGCATCAAGCATGCATGTGAGAGAATGTGTGTATGTGTGCGTGTGCGTGTATTGGGTGCGAAACAGAAAAGCTGCAACTAACCTGGCGTGTCCACAATCAGGACGTCTGTGTCGTCATCTCCGAACATAACGCCGTTGTCCACAAGGTAATCCACTGTCATGCGGACACCACGCACGTACGCCGTCTCGCTTTCGGGGTTGCCATTGACCTTGAAGCCCTCAGGAGCAGCGCCAGGGGCAGGGCCAATGTCGCGATAGGCGTTGGTACGCTGGATCATCTTGCAGCCAGAGAGATAGAGCAGGGAGGTGGATTTGCCGGCGCCCGATCGACCGAGGAAGACGACGACGTTCTTGCTCTGCATCGCCTCCGCATACACGCGACTCTGGTCGATGAGATACCTTGTCTTATGAATGTCAAAGGGACGAACGTCTTGAAGCACAGCCACGACTGAATCAAACGCTTCTGCCCACTTGTTGGACTTGATGTGATCTTCAAGGTCTTCAAAGTTATCCCGATGACAAGGTAAGTATACTTCGTCTGTTGCACGGTTCTTGGCATTCTGCACAAGCTGCAGCAGATCAGTTTTCTTGGCGTCAGGTTGGTGCCCCTGCCCAAGTGGAGTCTCTGCCAGTGCACACTAACAAACAGCACGCAGCATTTTACATTGAGTTTGAGGAGACTTGTTAGGTCAGAAAAATGTGCGTGCCGCATGAGGTTGCACAACCTTAACCAACCAATCAAACGCCCATCCGTGCAATCTTTTCAAGCCAAAGTCCTCATGAAATGCCACTAACCCAAATGAGAACGAGATACTTTTCCGTTGAAGGAGGGGAGTCCTGTACGCGCTGTTGAATGTCCTCCACGGGCTCACTACAACAGTATCGGTTACTCCCATGATTCAACAACGAGAATTGACTGGGAGGCTCTGGGAGGTTTTTGTCTGTCGCTCGAGCTGCTCTCACTTGTTGAGTTAGTGGCGCTTCAGATGCGCACTGTTGCCTTGTCGGCTTTGGGTCACACATGGTGTCCTCGGTCAGGAGGCCGGCCAGCAGGACAGAGTATCTTCTTGTAGTCTCGTGTATTGTTGTGTGCGTGAACGTCATGTGCGTGAAAGTGGTCTCTTGCTTTGTTGTCTCGTGCTCATGGCACGGCAAGGGCACTGCAGTGAGTGTTTGTCTCTCCACACCACGAAGAAAACATTTTGGGTGTGTCTCCTGTGTGACACACGTCTTTTCTCCTTGTTCTTGCCGCCTCAAATTTTACCCGCATCCACTACCCTTTTATCTATCCGCACTTCTGTCAACGTTGACAGTTTCGCCACCCTTTCACTTTGATTGCTCATGCCAACCTTGCTCACGCTGTCTTGTTTGCGTTTTGCGTTTTGCTGCAACCCTGCAACTTGTGATGTTGCCTGGCACCGGCTAGCGTCGCACAAAAAAGCCACAAAACAAGCCAAGCCAAGCAAGCCAAGCGCGCAAAACTCCTTCCTTTGCTTGCTTCGCTGTCTTGCTCTGCTTGCTCTGCGCTGCGCTGTGCTGCCGTTTTCCAAGCCAAGCCCTCACACCACCACGCTCACCGCCCCCCCCCCCCGCTCTCCCCAACCGCCTCGATCCCATCGATCCCATCCATTCACTCACCAGCCAATCCACCAAGTAAACTTTCTTTTTCCTTTCCTTGCTTGCTTGCTTGCAAGCATCCAACTCCAACACGAACACACCCCACAGCCTTGGCTCTCTTGGTTCGAACCACACCTCCCACACCACACCACACCACACCTCCCACCACACCACAAGGCACCTCCCTCTCCTCATTCCCCTTCCTCTCTCCGAAGCCGTATGTACCATGAGCCAGCGTGAGCTCACCTGCAACATGAGCTGGTACCGCGGGAGGACGACCTCCACGTCCTCCATGGCGTCCGACGCCAGCACAGCGCCCAAGCACACGGCCACCACCAGCACCAGCACCACCAGTAGCAGCAGCAGTAGCAGTGCACGCGGCCTGGACAGCGCGTATGCCTCTGTGCCAAGCTCGCCCGACCGGGTCGCAGCATCGTCCATGACCTCCTCGTCGTCCAGCAGCGTGGCCGTTGAGGAGCAGTACTACCACCGCTACAACCAGCGCTGGGGCGCACCAGCCACAGACGCAGCGCCAATGACCACGAGCAAGGCGCCGAAGGTGCCGGTGATTACGACAACGCCGCCCTCACCCTTCTTCGCCAAGCGCTCACAAACACAGCCGCAGCAGCAAATGCACGACCACGGCCACCGTGACCGCCCCAACCACGACCACGAGCACCAGCACGATGACCTGCACACGCTGTGTGATCTGCCGCGGGAGGTGATCCAGCAGCACGTGCTGCCGCACCTGAGCGTGGACGATCTGTGTGCTCTGCGCTGCAGCTGCTGGTTCCTGCACGCCACGGTGGATGAGATGCGCCCGTACAAGGTGCTGTGGCGCGTGACAGCGGTGTACCGGCAGCAACAAGAGCGCGGGCCGCGCCGCCGCTCCAACCCGGTCATCCAGCTCGTGCACGACACCATCGCCGTCATGCCGCCGCCAGCGGTGCCGCCGCCGCGCATGGCGGAGTCGGCCGTCCGCCTGTACACGCGCTTCTTCCCGCGCGAGCGGCCGCACTTGAAGACGCCGGAGGCCGTGGTGGACGTGGCCAGCGTGGCGGCGCTGGTTGGCGCGGCGCGCGTGCTGCACCACCTGCTGACGCTGCCGCCGCTGCTGGCTGCCGAGCACAAGCAGCGGTCTGCGGCCATGCTGCTGTGCATGCGCGTGGCGGTGAAGATGGGCCACGTGGCGTGCATCCGGGCCATCTTCGATGCCATTGGAAAAGTGGCGGACAGCGTGCCCCCGCTCATCTGCCGCGAGTCCCTGCTGGCCTTCTTCGACCAGAGCCTGCAGAACGGGCACGCGGACGCGGCGCGGTTGCTTGCAGGCAAGGCCAACTACTCCGAGCAGCAGCAGGTGGCGGACGCGCTGCACGCCAACGCGCCCGTGCTCAACAGCCCGCGCACGGTCGACTACTTTCTCTCGCTGAGCGTGCCGGAGGAGGACCTGCTTGACCTGGCCAGCATTGCCGTGGCGCACGCGTGCGAGGACGGAAACGTGGCGCTGCTGGACCATCTGCTGCGCAACCACGCGCAGTACGCCCGCGTGCACGTGCCGCACATTGAGGCGGCCGTCAGCCGCGACCGCGCCTTTGTGCTTGCATGCTTGCACAACGCGCTCGACCTGCGGCGCCAGCACTACACGGACACGCTGCCGGGCCTCACGCACGCGTGGCCGCTGCTCGGGCAGATGTGCCGGTGCGGTGCCGTCAAGTGCCTCGACTTTGTGCGCCGGCAGTTTGAGTTTGACGATGCCATGCTGGCCATCGTGTCCACCAACCTCATGAGCATGTGCGCGCCCAGCTTCGGCTTTGCCCTGTCGCGCGTGCTGCAGTTTCTCACCCGCACGCAGTTGCATGCGCGCGTGCCCGTCTCGTGCTGGCAGGCCGTGGCTGCGGGCTGCTGCCGCTTTGGGTTCACCGACGCCCTGCATGTCCTCCTCACCCAGTGCTTTGGCTTCACGGACTCTGATGGTGACAAACGCAGCAGTACATGCAGTGCATGCAAGCACGTGGGAGGCAACGACAACAGCGACAGCAGCAGTGACGCAAAGAAGCGTGGCTGCGCTAGCAACACAGCCACGTCAATCCCCACCTCTCCCAGCAGCAGCGGCACCACCACCACCGCCACAACATCGGCAACACCATCGGCAACACCATCGGCAACATCAACACATCCAATTATGCATGTGGATCGGCGTGTGGTGCGCAATATGGAGGCGTGTGCGGGGTGCCGGCTGGTGGTGGCGCGTGCCATCTTCCTGACGACGGAGGAGGCCGCCTTTACACAGCAGTGCCCGCTCCTGACGGCGGTGCTGGGCGGATACACGGGCGTGGTGGGCATGCTGCACAAGTACGGCGTGTTCTCGCACAGGGACGAGTCTCGCCTGCGCCTGTTGACGACGCTGGTTCGCGCCATGGGCCACGCACAGCGGCAGGATGAGAGCGGTGCCGGCGACATGCACTCTCCTTTGATCATGCCCTGGGCACGTGCTGATCCCGCGCACTCCATGTCCCCGCCGGCGCCGGCTGCGATGCACCCGCGTGCTGGCGATGCGCTGACACCGCGAAGGCGGCAGCGGCGCGGGTCGTACGCAGCAACGCACAACGCGCTGGCCGGCATGAGCTTGCGTCATGGCGTGCGACTCTCCTCCATTCACTCAAGCGCGGGCATGCTGAACCTGCTGTGGGAGGAGGTTGGCCTGGCACGCGTGTATCTGCAGCAGCCGAAGGACCTGTGCGATCTTCTCTCGCACGCGTGCTGCTTTGACCTCATGGATGTGCTCAACTTGGTGTTGTTGGACCTTGACGACAGCGCCGTTGCGCAATCCGCCCTTACTGCCGTGCAGGCGTGGCCGCAGGACGTTCAGTCCACCCACGCCGCGCAGCTTGTAGTGCGCCACCTCATGCGCCGCTCTTGAGTGGTGGGTGGTGTGCATGATGGTCGCTCTGGTACTTGCTGGTTTGGTTATTGATTTATGTACATACAAACCTGTCTCCTGCATGTGTGTGTGTTGCTTGCGTGCATCAGAGGTGTTGTGTGAAGTGCTGCTGTTGTTGTGTTGAATGAAATGGAATGGTGTATTGTTGGATAACAGGACCATAAAATGTACGAAAACAAAAGCAACATCAAGGAAGAACAACCAAGTTGGGATGAATGAGACGAGATGTGTGTGTGTGCGCGCGCGCGCGCGTGTGTGTGTGTGTGTTCGCGCTCTGGCTGCGTCGCTATCTCTCTCTCCCCATACGTTGACAACAGCCAGGCGTCACTCCGGGGTGGAGGCGAGTTGGTTGTGCGCTGGGTCACGCAGCAGCGAGTCGCAGCTGATGCCGACCATGGCCGGTCCAAGGTCCTCGCTCACGCGCGCCAGCACCGCCGCGTCCCGGAAATGCGTCACGGCCTCCACAATCGCCCGCGCGCGCTTCTCGGGGTTGGTGCTCTTGAAGATGCCCTGAGGTGGTGAAAGGTGGAAGGCGGAGGAGAATGCGTGTGTGTGTGTGTGCGTGCGTGTGGGGGAGGGGATAAATTGTGTGTGTGAACGTGTGTGCAAATGCGTGTGAATGTGTGTGAAGGTGTTACCATGTATGCAAAATGTGAGAACAGAACAACAAAGTTGTGTCTTCTGCACCATACACACACACACACACACACACACACACACACACATACATACACACACACACACATGTGCGCACCGATCCGACAAAGACGCCGTCGCAGCCGAGCTGCATCATCATGGCGGCGTCGGCGGGCGTGGCAATGCCGCCAGCAGCAAAGTTGACAACAGGCAGCCGCCCAAGGTCGCGCGTCCGCTTCACCAGCGCAAGCGGCACGCGCTCCTCTCCAGCGTACTGACGCGTTTTTGAGTGAGTGTGTGTGAGTGAGTAAGTGGTGTGTGTATGTATGTATGTGTGTGTATGTGTGTGTGTATGTGTGTGTGTATGTGTGTGTGTATGTATGTATGTATGTATGTATGTATGTATGTATGTATGTATGTATGTATGTATGTATGTATGTATGTATGTATGTATGTATGCATGTATGTA